AAGCAGAAAAATAAATTCAAATAACATTTGGCGCCCAACGTACCTACATCTACATGTATACGCTGGAATAGCACTTATGCATTCTTTTATCCCGGTGACATTGTTCTGAACTCCACTCCGACGATGTTACTTTCGGAAGAAAGTAATAAATATGATAATGTACGAGTAGTTATCACAACTACCCCGATGTTTGCTGTGAAGTTCACGAGAAGACGGTCCCATTAGCATTTTAACCAGACTGTGCTCGCAGCACACCTTCCATTTAACATTTCATGCCATTCAGTAATTTTATACACAGTTTGAACGGATACGTATTTTACACATAGATTAACAATATCATAGAATGTTACGACAGAATCTGACTTTTATTGAACTATATATTTCGTTTATATCCGATTAAATTCAAAATTAAATAAAGTCATCCGGGGCTATTGTAGCTACTAAAAATTTGTCAATCTTTTGACTTTAATATTTTTACATTATAAATACAATATATAGAATGTAAATTCTTTCAGTGTTACATAATAGGGTATTTGACAGTATTAAAAATAAAGTGCCGATTGTTAGCATCTGTGTTTAGAATGAATATTAGCAGGGGTTTTTACTATTTTTACAAAAAAAAATCATAATTTTACTAAAAACCCACGAAAAAGATAATAGTTTTCTTATCTATTGTCACGTGACCCAAAACCCTTGGGATTGGCGGAGCCTAAAATGACGTCACACGCAAGTAAACTTCCGGTAAAAGTGACATTACATTGTATCGTTTGACATTTTAATAACAGTCGTGTGACGTCACACACTAGTAAGACGCCATATTGTCCACAGAAAGGTTTTCGCGGCAACTTGAAAATGGAGTCTTTGATTTTGTTATTTTTACTGAAATACACAACAGAATGATGAATATCCACTTTTTACGGACTCCATAAACATTAGTCAATAACGTGAGATCGTTTTCTAAAACTTGTCGAATACCCTATTATGTATTAATTATAATGGAGACGAGTTCAGATTGATATAAAGTCAATAAATTCATTTTGAATTGATAAAAGTCCATCTTAAAGCTGCCAATAGTCCCATTTCACCATCCGTTTGTCTTTGTTGTTGTATCTATAATTCGCAAACTAACAGTAAACATCAGATCCAACTAAATGTAACTAATATTGTACTTCAGTGCTCTATATTTGAGTTTAATGTGCTTTAAAATTACTTAGAGTACCATTAAAGGGTAAATGTATCTTTTTCCTTCTTCTTTTTCTTCTTCCTCTTTATGAAACAGATACATTTGCCCCCTGGTTATAGTAGCCCCGGGTGAAACTAGTGTTAATTGTACTTTTTATGTCGGAAAATAATAATAACACACATTTAGACAAAACTTTAATAAATATGTAATAAGAAAAATAAAATATATTGCTTACTACTTCTTCTGACTTACCTACTTCTAACTTAGTCCAAATAAAGTGGATAAAAATATTTTTTTTATATAATAAAGAGCAATTCTTGAATTCTTCTTAAGCATGACACTGTCACTTATTTGCCTGTTCGTCTGTCTGTCCTGACGCACGCTTGTCTTGCACCGCACCCATAGGAGGGCATAGAGGTGAGTCCTCGACTTTAAAGTCGTCGTCATAAGATTTTTTTATAGTTTTATTGTGTATTTATTAAGTGGTTTTTTCCCCCTTACCAGTTGAACATTTTAGTCTGAAAAGAGTTCTACTTCTTCGGTTTTGTCTAGGTGTAAGGAAGTAATTTGTATTTTTTTTTATTTCAATATACATATCTTTGATTATATACACACCGCGTATTAACTGCACGGAAGCGTTACATAAAATATCTACTACATATGGTGGATACGTTCATCACTACACACTTACACATTGGTGTAGATTCTCATGATTGATGATGATTCTCTAAACCTAAACTTAAATTTGACAACAGTGTATCCTTGTCATTCTCTTTACAGAATGAAAAGGAGAGACTGATGTTAAATTTAGTTTCAAGTTAAGAGAATCGCGCCAGAATCGCACCAATAACTGCTTCCAAACAATCTAATATATTACAGTCACGCACACATCGTACGAAAAATGAGCCGTTTTCTTTGCGTTTTTAGTTTGGATTGCTGTTTCTAGGCGTTTATATAATCAAAGAGACATAGTAACCTTTTAAGTTTTTTTCGTCAAGTTAATCTTATAGCGACGCATTTTATTTATTATATACATTAGCAGCACTACTAATGCTTTTGCGTGAAGCATGTAGGTTTTCAATATAAAAAATAAATTACAAGCTGATAAATAACTAAAATGAATGCAATTAAAGTGAACACTTCGATAAATTAGATGTAAGAATTGTAATATTTTCTTTAGATATAAGAAATTGGCTTTAAGTATTTTTTTTATTTTTTTATTATGTACATTTAAATACATTAACATTTTTGCTGACCTTATTGGCGCCCATCGTGGTGTCGAATAAATTTATTACCTTTCAAAAGTCTTAATAGCATATTTATGAATAAACTCATCAATAATATGTAAATTTTACATATTATTGATGAGTATTTTAGTAATATATATAATTTTACATATTTTTATTTTAATACCTTTTCCGCTTAATTATAACTTAACCCCAACACAATCAACGCTGGAAATCTTAAGTTGGAATATAGTACTATAAATTTAATTACGTTGATAAAATAATAATGTTTAACAAAAAATATTAGTCTAGCAATAGCGTAGAATAGGTTCAGTCACCCAGGTCGGAGGTAAACTTTGTCAGACCCGACTGTGATTGGTACAATGACTAGTTATGTTATTTGGTACAATGTCTTTTTATATTAAAAGGGTGGCAAACAAGTATATGGCCCGCCTGATAGTAAGGGACACCATAACTAGACGCTTGAGATAAAAAAAATATCACTCGCGCAGTTGCCTACCCTGACTCAGTAGAGCCCTGGAACCTTACTCTCACCGGTAGAAACACAACACCATGGAAAGGTAGTGTTATTTTACTGTAGTTAAAAGTAAAGGTGGAGGTTACTTCCCCAGACGGGTGCTTCAATATGAGCGGTAAATGTAACAAATCTGGCTCGAAGGACCAAACTGTAGGGTTCTAATCACAGAATACAGAAAGAAGTTAGAAGTTAAGTAGGAGAAGTTAGGCCTCACTACACTTCCACCTAATAGATAATAACCAATCAAACGACACGACATCAAACAATCAAACCAATCAGCGCTCACACCCAAGAGCAGCGACGCAATCAGAACCAAGTTTTGATTAAATTATGAGCATTTGCTCACACATAGCTGTGGCGTCCCTACCCCGCCCTCTTCTAATCTCTTTCAGTGTTCTGTGGTCCAAATCTTAGGACACTTAATTTGAAAATTAACGATTAAAAGTGGCATATAGCAGATGCGTATAGCAGTATGTCTGGTGTTCCTTCGGTAGTTTGTAGAGAAGTGTGGATAGATTGGCTTGACTGCTCCGTTGCCTCGCTGCGCTGAAGCTCGCTACGACGGAATACGGTGACGCATGAATATGCCCGAATAGTAACCATAATTTTGCCTAGACCGGGAACGGACTATGATAGGCATTATATTAAGGATTGGGTTTTAAAGTGAAAGCAAAACTTAATTTGATTTACTGTAGCATAATGCGAATCAACCTTAATGGCGGCTGTGTATAAGCGCAAGTCGCGGCGTAGTGCTTGCAATGTACGACGATGTAAACGCGTCCGGAATGACACTGAACAGTACCCCAAGCACAAATAACTTGCGAGAAATTATTTGTATAGTTATGTTAAATTTTCTATATACGGCACTCGCGGCTCAAAAGTGATCCGCTTAAATTGTGGTGCATGACCACAATTCGCTTAAGTCACAATTGGACATTGAAACACGCTGCATGTGCACTCAATATAACAATACTGCGTATATAATGTGTAATAAAGATAAAACAATGCCTTCGATGCCTTTAGCCTCCCTCGGCGAAACTATTCATTCGTAAAACTGTGTAATCATTTTTTTCTCAAAAAATACGGTTTGTCGTGAATGTTATTTACGTAATCGCCATTTTGTTTACAATAAAAGGACAATAATACAGCTCAGCCGTGCAGACTCGCCGCACAGTAGGCGGAAACGATCAAAACTACGCACGAGGCAGTAAATCTTATCCAAGTGAAATCATATTTTTTTAAATACTAGTAATTATGTCTGCTTTCTTGAAGCACTGCGAAAATTTTTTTAGGGGCAGAAATATCCCTATCAACCCCTAAGCAGGCTAAACCACCAGATTCTGGGTAAATAGTAATGGTAATATGGGAATGAGGTGTATCGGGGTTGTGTTAGGCTAGCCTATCTGCGTATAAAATATATATTTCCTTATAAATATGTAGTTGGACGAACTCGTTTTACCCAGAATCCGTTGGTTTAGCCTGCTTAGGGTTTGATAGTTGTGGTTTCTACCCCTAAAAAAGCAATGAATTTCCGCAGTTCTACAAGAAAGCAGACATAATTACGAGTATTTAAAAAAAAATGATTTCATTCGGATTAGATTTACTGCCTCGCGCGTGGTTTTGATCGTTTCCGCCCACTGTGCACCGTTTCTCTCGCGCTGCGTTGAAGCGTACAGTTGTTTCGCTCGCTCTATTGAATGTTTATTTACAGACGTGTGCGTGTGTGTGAGTTACTTATGTAGTTGAGGAGCATTTTTTATTTGATACTAGGATGAGCGTACCGTATTTTCCCTTTTTGTTTTAATCTTCGGAAAAAGCTAGTTTGTTATTACGTACTTTAAGGCCGAAGTCCTTTGACGTTGTAAAGTAAACTTTGACGTTAGCGAAATGAATACGGATCAGTCCAAGATTATGCTTAGGGTACTAAAACATGCGCATAAATATTGTGTTTTGCTGCTAACCTCACAATCACCGTAAAGTTTGATTCGCACTTTAAAAACTGTACATAATTCTTCGGTTTATTTATCTGATCATTGTTAATTTATGTTAATAGGGTGCTACAAAGCTAACCAAGGACGATATAGAGAGAGTGTTCTCCCTTTATGACAGAGTGAGTATACTAAAACAAATTGTTTCTTTTAATTGGTTAAAACAATAAAGCCGCGTATTCATTACATTTATTTATAAACTTTTATAAAGATGATCACCTTGTTTATAAACAAGTTTACTGTAAACTCTGTTTCTGAAACTTGGCCGTCCATACTTTTCAGTTGTTCCGAGGATGTCGCCCGAGGAAGTAGTGTTGTTCTGTGCTGCTTACGTAGTAATTCATAAAAGTAGGATTACATAAACGGAAAAATTATAAGCATCTAAACTTGATCGGTTTACCACACTACTTTCATGTTTAAATAAACTATAAACATCCCGCAACACATGTCCACACCTGTCAACTTTTGTTTATAAACTAAATGTTTCGTGTTGCTCTCCATTCACATTGGAAAACACTGCAATATGTATCTGAAATAATGTTTTATCACCATTGTTTATAAATTGTTTCTAAACTGTATACAGAGATGGTGCAACATTGTTAAACACTGTTTATAAACAAATGTTCCGTAATGAATACGCAGCTTTACTTCGCTACAGTTATTTTTAACATACATTTATCAATCTGTTTCAGGACAACAATGGTTCCATTGAAAACGAAGAGCTTCGAGGGTTTTTAAAAGACTTATTGGAATTAGTTAAGAAGGTCAGTAACATCTAAGGAAGAATTTTGCTAAAAAAAATAATCGGGTACCTGCAGTGCTTTTCTGTAAGAAAAAAATATCTTTTTAATACAGTTGCTCAAAAAGTGGCGTATTGCAGGGACGTGTAGCGTTCGGGAGCTGGGCTATTTCACACTCGTGCTTTTTTTTTGCCTTTCCCGAACTCGTGCGTTTTCTTTCCCAACTGTCAAAATTATTTCTATTAAAAAAAACAACCATGAAGTTTTAACTAAAAAAAATCATAGAAGTTTTTGCGATTCATGCAAATAGGTTTATTTGTTTTTAAAAAGAAGCTACCTATACTAATTTGTCCAATATCAGAATTAATTAATTGATTGAATGAGTTAGGTAAGGTTTCAGTTCATTTCATATCTTTAAATTTCAATTTCATTTCTTATAATAAAAAATACTAAGTACTAAAGACTTGGCTGTATGGGCAGTTCCCTTTGCCTACCTGAATGGGTGAAAAAAAACTGCTTACATTCTACGGTTGGCGCCATTTTCCGAAATTTTCTTTGCGAGTTTAGTTGTTTTTTACACAAAATGAGTAATTTCGACCTAAATTTTTTTGAATTAACTCCACCGGAACTCAGTATAATTGCACAAAATGCTTCGGAGAACATTTTACCGGAAAAGTCAAAAATTCGCTACATATCTACATACGATGAATTTATTGCGTGGAAAGAAGAGAAAAAGCAAATAGTTTTTCAGAAAATGTTATGTTGGCATACTTTTCCGAACTCTTAGCAAAATTAAAACCTTCTACGTTATGGTCAAGGTTTTCGATGATAAAAAGTATGCTGAAAATAAGGAACAACGTGGATATAAGTCAATATCCAAAATTAAATTCTTTCTTAAAACGACAATCAGACGGGTTTACCAGTAAAAAGTCGAAAATATTAACATCGAATGACATGGAAAGGTTTTTGAAAGAAGCTCCCGATGATTGTTATTTAGCCACAAAGGTAATTTATTAATAAGTATACATATCTACATTTTTCTTTAGTGTTCAGTTTACAAAATCGCAAAATACAGTCAATACATTATTTATATGAATCAAATCGTTTTTTTTAGGTTGCTCTGATTTTTGGCGTTGTTGGAGCTTGCCGCAGAGAGGAGTTAGCCAATATTACTTTAAAAGATATTGAAGCCCATGGAGAAATGCTACTTATCAAGATTCCAAACACAAAAAATAAGATACCGCGAAGCTTTGTTGTTGAAGGAGATTTTCTCACAATAGTGAAAAAATATATGAACCAGCGGTCCCAAAAAGGAAAATCCGACCGTTTTTTTCAAAATTTCCAAAAAGGGAAGGACAGCTCAAGTAATCGGCATAAACAAATTTGGTAATATGCCAAAAGAAATAGCTACGTTTCTTGGTCTGCCGGATGCTGAGTGTTATACTGGGCACAGTTTCAGAAGGACCTCTGCTACATTATTGGCAGATTCAGGAGCCAATTTGACGTCCTTAAAGCGACTAGGTGGTTGGAAATCGGACAAAGTTGCAGAAAGCTATATTGGTGATTCATTAAACAACAAACTAGAAACTGGGAAAAAGATCACACAATCCATTAATTAAAGGTCCAGTCCGTCTCCTTCACATGCTGAAGAGAACGTTCGTCCATCTACGAGCACCTTCGTTGATAATGATAATTCATCAGATCCAATTCCATGAACTAGCAAACGCCATTGTATGACAAATATACATGAACAATCATACGAAATTAATAATAGTTTGTCTCAAACAGTAAATATGCAACGTAAAACTTCCCCAGTTAGTATAAAAAACTGTACCAATTTCAATGTATATGTGAATTATAACTTTTATAAGAAATAAATGATTAGTTAATTGAGTTTATTGTGTTTTTATAATTTGATTAAATTGCTTCATTTTTTCGCAACTGTATTAAAAATAGTCGTTCAGTACACGTACGGAACCGTCATTGCAACTCGTTCCGACTGTCAACCCTCGCCTTCGGCTCGGGTAGACATTTGTCGGAACTCTTTGCAATGACAACCATTCCGTACTAGTAATGAAATATACTATTTCAGCACGGAATGCGCGGTATGGTTTACAATTAGAATTCAATTTTAAATAAATTTCAAATCACACCGGAGGATTCCACGGTGAAAAGTGAATTTGTTGTTACAGAATACTACTGCTAGGGATCTTTCGATACAAGTAAATAAGAGTACGTCCTCGATACTTTTGTTTCGAAACATTTGGCATGTTTTTTTTTTCTAGTAAAAAAATCCTTTAGTATAAAAATCTAGCAGTCTTTTATATAAATAGTACTCATATTGCAAATCTAAAGAGTTAACTTGATTGAATGAACGCTCTTATCTCAGGAACTATAGGTTCAAACTGAAAAAATATTTCTGTGTTGGGAAAAAATACCATTTTTTGGAAGGCTTTTGATAACCAATAGAAGCACAGGATCTATGAAAATTGTTTCAGAAAAATTTAAATTAGTATTTAGAGATGTGAAGTATTTTTTTCCTCAAATTAGTGCGGTTACCGATTTTATAGTTTAAAAATATATTAAATAACATTAGATAAATTATATTTAAGAAATATTAGGTTTATTTTTTGTAAAAACTAATTAGCGGTCCCCTGTCATTGATTGAAATTAATGATTGTTGGGTTTGATTCAATTTCATGATGTCTCTTTCTTTGCGATAACTATAGAACAACACAGCAAGCGACTTAAGAGCCCTTTCACATATTTTGCAATAAATCGCAATTTCTGAGCGCCTCGTTTGCCCCCTTAGAAGAGATTTTGACTACTTCCAATAGAAGTAAATAGTAGATTTATTCTTCCTATTGAAAATCAATGTAGAATATTTTCAAATACTATTTCCATTTTTTTGTACTGATCGTTCTACCGCAGCTAGTTTACGGAAAAAACGATAATATGCACAACTAAAAACGCCTTAATCTCACAATAATGTTCAATAAATTAGATCAAATTAATTACTACGACACCAGAAATATGTTTTTGTTGCAACATAATGTATTAGAATCTTGATTTTCCATCTCATTAATTATTAAAAAAACATCTAACCCCAGTTTCCCCAAAAAATAACGCAGGTTTACCTCGTATTTTGATATTGAATTAAATAGAATTACCATCAAAAACTGTCATAAAACTAATCTACAATCATTGAACTACTGAAATATGTATATAATTTTATAATAATTTCATTAATTATTATTTTATAAGACTCTGAACATCACCCGTAAAATGCAATATATAGTAGTGCAAATCAAGACGCCGTTCAGTACGGCGCCAGCGCCTTTGGAGGTTCTACCTATATCGCTTTGTACCGCACGCGTTCCGAGCGATGCTACGAGTGCATTCATCGTAAAACTGGCTGGATATACTACGACCGCAAAAGTTTAATCGTTGACTGTATGTAAGTATCCACAACCGTATTAAATTTTATTATCATAAGTACCTACCTAGTTATTAATTATCGTTGCTTCAACTAATATTTTTGTTATAAGCTTTTACAATGGGGCGTAAAATTCCTGCTTACAATTGTGTCAAAAAAAACGAAAGAATGATGCAGCCATAAAGAAAGCTTGTGAAGCAAGGTGAATATGCTTATAACATTTCGTTTTTTATTTTTGTGGTTTCAATGGGTGTTTTAATTGTATAAAAATGGTGATTTGTCCGGACTTTTCAAGTATCATTGGTATGAAATTGTAATCAGTTAAGGTACTGTACTCTAATGGCCAACGATTTTAACTTACTGACTTAATGGGTATGTCTATCTATCCCTATGTCTATAAAAAAAGCTAGAGTGTGGTAAAATTTTGCATTTCGATCAAGTATAACAAGTATAAGCTCGTGGGCCGCCAAAGTACATATTGGCCCAACATAATAATATATTTAGAATAGAAATCCACAGTTCTATGTATTTTAGATGGAAACAAAATTTTAATGGCAACCCCGAAAATATTGAAACTATACCGACCATAAGTTCAATGGATTCGATTGCAACGGAAACTGTAAGTTTTTCATGTTGTTATTGGAAGTAGACAATGAAAAGAGAAATTGAAATCATAATAATAAATTTAATTATATAGGAAAAAAATGCTGTTGGATTGGAAATCGAATCCGAGGAACAAGGGGAAGCGTCAAACTCTAATTTAAATATTTTATTTGTTTTATACTGACTTAATAGGTATTTCACTACTACACTAGGTACATGGTTTACAATGTTAGCAGTTTGGTTTTTTGTTTTAAACTTAAACTAATGGGATGCATTTCTAGAGCAAAAAAGTTTATTTTTAATAGTTTATTACCCGACTGCCAAAGAGGGAGGGTAATGTTTAGGGAGTGTATGTAAGTATGTATGTATGTCTGTTCCTTTGTGACCTCCTGTAGCCTAAACGGCTTGATGGATTTTGATGTATGAGGTATCGTTAGATTTGTCTTGATTACGGGAGTGTCATAGGATACATTTTATCCTAAAAGTCCCACGGGATAAAGACATAATAATATTTTTTCTAAATTTCCCTTTAAAAAAATATGTATGCGGTATCATTAGATTCATTTTTAGACTGTCTTAAGGTACTTAATAATTCCCGCGATATTAATTCCCTTACTGAAGTAACAAGACTACGGTATATACCGTCTTAAAATACTAACTAACTAAAAAGTGTGAAATAAAAAAGGTAAATTTAAAAAATCAAAAAACCCGACTGCTTAATTATACTTCAAATAAAAACTGAAAAGAAAAAAACAAGTCCAGTAGTCTATAATTCTGTTAATAAGGAACAAAGCTACTTTAACAGTCGGGACCCACTGTTGAAAAATATTATGTATTCTTGAATATCTAATGGGTCCCGACTGTTAAAGTAGCTTTGTTCCTTATTAACAGAATTATAGACTACTGGACTTGTTTTTTTCTTTTCAGTTTTTATTTGAAGTATAATTAAGCAGTCGGGTTTTTTGATTTTTTAAATTTACCTTTTTTATTTAGACTTCTTTGCTCCATAAGTTCAATTGACAGTAACTTGCTGATTTACGTACCATATCTGTGTCTGGATTGGAAATGTATTTCCAGTGTTGCCTATATCTGTTTATATGCGTAGATAGTCGATAAAAGCAGTATTGTAGTCAATTAGATAATCTTTTTTCAGGAGGAGTATATGGTTGATGGAGGACGTGTAATGATACCAGGACATTTTGCACTTGGAAACACCAGACTGGGTGTTGGACCGTCAAATGTCAACATATCAATATCACCTCAGCTGAAATAAGAACTTATAGAATTGACAATGAGCGAGGAAATTTCAGATGTTGTTATTATAAGTATTTTGTTTATTATCGTCATACTTTTATTAAAATTAAATGTATTGTGGCCCTTTGTCACCGTAATAATCCACAAAAAATAATATATTATTATAGATAACTATAATATAACCTTCATTGTAATTTACGAAAAACAAAACATCAATCATCAATTTCAAAAAGAGACAAACATTGTACGTGATGCGTTATACTACCAGACTGCTTCCGGTTATGATAGCATCAGTGATGATAATCTTTGATAACACTGATAAGTAATTAATTGTATAGAGAATAGCAGATTTTATTGAATGTGCTTTACAGCAGCTAGTGATGGAAGAGGTGTGAACTTTCCCAGCTCCGTTTTCATATTATTTATCCTGAAATTACCATACGAGAACTCGCAGCAAAAATTTCATGAGTTAGGTGTGTAAGAGATGAGTTCCTATGAAAGTTAAATGCTTTTGATGGGTTTTGTTTAAATGAATGGAAATTACACGAATACAAAAAAACATGCTTTTTATTTTTTTATCAAATACTCTTACAGATATATTGAAAATACAGAGTGCGAAAACTTTTTTATTAAATGAACTACGAAGGCAAAGACAGAACTACACTTAGTACAGTTTTACTGAGATATTTGATTATTACCAAACATCAATCATCATTAAAAAAGTCAATACTAAAAATACAAGTAAATAAAATATTATTTCTCATTGCCACTCGAAAAAGGGATTTCATTCAGCGATAACAGTGAACAAACTTTTCATTTAATTACTGAGTGAATAAAAAAATTTGAACAAACAGAAGTTATGCAAATCAAACATATAAAGTTACAATAATTAGTAATAATCATAATTAATCTTTATTGTCATTTCCAAAACGCAACCAATGGGTACTATAAATATATTATTTATTTTCTCACAATAGTAAAAAAACTTAATCCTTGTATCCTTTGCTCCACTCAGGATTCCTATCTAGAATCGTTCGTTGCTACAGTAGGGATCCATCTTAGCACTTCAAATTAACATATTATTTTATATTTGCATTTATTGTATAATCAATAATTGCATATTAAAGTATCAATTTGGTAAAGCGCGCTATACTGAACTTCGCCGCTTCGATGTGTCGCTCGTGCAACTCGGACGCTCTCGCGGTCATATTTACCTAAACTAGAGCGGCGCAATTTTGTAAAAGGGCTCTTAATGAAGCATAAAATTTGTTGGCATCTCTAAGTGTGACTATAAATTAAATATTTCTGACCTCTTTCATAGTGTTGTCAGCTATGGCGATTAGATGTTTAGCAGTCGATATTTATATAAAAAAATAACCATTTAAATTGTGTACCTGAGTGTTTGCGCTTTCACCTGTATTTAATTTTATTTTGTTAACAAGCGTTTTAGTTTTGCTACCTTTTCTCTGGAACCTCAAAAATGTACACTCGACCGCAAATAAACTGGGCCACCGGCCAGTACCTTGGAACCCCAATGAGATTTTCGATAGTTGCAAGTTTTATACTTTTTGAGAAAAATTAAGTCTGAGTTCCATGGTTGCAAGTGGCCCGGTTAATTTTCTGGCTGTCAGTGTAATTTATTATTTATGGACCACGAGTATGAGTATAATTTCTTTCAATATAAAAATTAATAAATCTTTTAAATTTTATACACTTCTATCTCATTTGACATTGTAGGTACGTATCTACCTTAGTACAGTGTAAAGAAATAGCACAGCACAGCAACCATGTAGCTAGAATCTTGCTGCGTATACTTGATCTATAGCGACATAGCAACTCAGGGCCGTAGCTAGGTGGATTGGCATAATGGGGCAATGCCCTACAGTAAAAAATTAAATACCATTGCCCCAGTTACCTTAAAACGAGACAACAAGCTGCGAAGGGCGACAGAAGAAAAAAGCATCAATTACTGACCTATATTTTGATTTGATTTACTAATTTTAGGGGGTAGCGCCAGATTTTTAAAAACGCCCCTGCTTATTCTCTACCTGTAATCTTAATCCTCCTCAAACCTTAATATAAAAGCATATTTTTTAATTTACTTATCTTTTTGCTCGCCTGTAGGATTACGACGCGCAAGACTTACTGGAATTCGAAGAGACAATCCTACAAGGTGTGGAGTACAGCAGCGACGGCAAGATCAGCCGAAAACAGCTCACCATGATCCTATTAGCACTCGCAAAACACCATCAAGAAGAAGAACCGTCTACACCATAAGTGTATCCAAACGCGTACGCCACTCCGTCCCGATATATCCGAACGAATTTCTAGTGTTGCGATCTATTTTAAAACGTACAGTGATGTTTGTTTATGAAGCTATTTTGTTCTTTTTTTAAAGGCTGATGATCCGGTGTGATTTCGGTATGACGTGCATTAATCATTAGATAAATATTTAATATTATGTTTTTTTTTAATGCTGTAAAACGTTCATCTGACCCGTTAATTTAAAAACTTATTTTACGTAGGTAGGTAACTATTAATTTGGACCCTTATTGCGTAAGATTTAAGGTGGTAACTATCAATTAAATATAAACCAAATGAAAGCCAAATCAATTGCCAAATATTAAAAATCAAGTCTATTTTCATATTTCGTATAGCAGATGTTGAATTATAGTTATACATCCATTCAATATCACATTAAAAATCCATACATATCACAATTATTAACACTGCATTTTAACATTTCTTTCTTATATTTTAATTTATGATATTATGCTAGGTATCTACTATTAAAATATACACTCAAATGTTTCATTTTTGTATTACAGCCAGTCCCTTAGATATTTTCATTTAAAAGCCACAGGGCCGAATTTAAGGCGGGGCTGTGGCCCAGTGGACCCCCACAACAGCAACCCAATAAAAAATATCTTCGACGGGTTTAAAGTACCCCACTTCCTAGTTTCCCCAGGGCCTCCACACCTCTAACTAAATCCGGGCCTGAAAAGACAAGTCTTTTCAGAGCAAGTCTCGAGAATCTTTTGCGTTTAATTTAAAATTAAGAAATAAATTTAAAATAGTAAACTTGAATCATTATTTTCTCTACATACCTACTGTGAATATAATTTTGATGTCGTTTAAACTCATAACAAAAGTTGTAATTAGTTAGGTTATGGTGTCAAATCTGGCATGATTCTCTAAACTTAAAACTAAATGTAACAGCAGTCTCTCCTTTTCTTTATGTACAGAGAATGACAAGGATACACTATATGTGTCGATTCTGGTGTGATTCTCTAAACTTAAATCTAAATTCAACATCAGTCTCTCCTTTTCATTCTGTATAGAGAACGACAAGGATACACCGTTGCCAAATTTAAGTTTAGGTTTAGAGAACCATGCCAGAATCGACATCAATGTAAGTTATTGGATGGTAGTATTGAAAATAATGTTCGTGTAGTATTTTATAAATGTCTTAGCTTGAAAGGCTGTGTCTAGTCTATATACTTAGATGGCGGTAGAAATGCACTTTAGCTAATTCAAACTTATGGCGGCTACCACAGATGACAAAATGCTGAGTTTTTCAAGTTAATGCGTGACGCGATACGTTTAATATACGTATACGTATACCTGTTTAAATGTACTCAATTAATGACAATTTGCAAATTAACTACACTGAAAAGTAAGACCTTAACTTGTTTCATGAATTAAATGATTTTTTTATAAAAGCATTGCTTAAATCTTAGTCTTTTTGGTTTTGTAAATAGTAAGGAATTAAACTATGCCACTTTAAGTCGATAGTTATTAATAATCACAACACCTTGGACAACTGTTTACTTATCAATGTAGCATCTTTATATATTAAAAATTTTGTTTATGTGCTTAATATAAAAAGAATATGGAGAATTAATTCGTATGAATATGCCGTTACATTATCGCCTAAAATTAGCAAAGTTTTCAAATGTATTGTATGTAAGAGCCGTTCCAACCATTGTTTATAAAGGCACAAACATATTATCGTGGCGTGGCGTGTCGTGAGTTCGTGACGCGCCAGAAGCACATCGGTTTCATACATTTATTATGGGTTATAGGGAGAGTGAGAGAGATTAAAGCGTTGACACGTCTCTAACCATAGTAAATATATGAAACCGATGTGCTTCTGGCGCGTCACGACACGTTAATATGTTTCTGACTTTAGTTCCGGTATTGATAAACTTTTCGTTCGTTATTTTAAATGGATGTCGTTATTTCTGTCTATTTAGATATGTTAAGTAAATAGAGTTAAGATATCGATGTTAATAAAATATGTTATTTTAAGATGAAACAAAGTTTATATAAGTGAAAGCGGGAGAATTTTGTACACAGTTCTTTTTGATTATTTACCTAACTCATTTAAACAAAGTGTCCGATTGCTTTCTGTTATACCTTCACTCGAATTGATGATTCAATCGTGTGCCTCAACTAAATAATACATCACACAAAATCAAAGTATTATAACATTTATCCTTAATATTTTAAAGTAAAGGTAAAAAATATGCATTTCATTCTGTTAAAATAATTGAAATTATTATACCTACCCAAAGAAATATTTTTCTATCAAATGAGGTACTTTCATAACTTAGCAAGTTATTTTTATTTAATAAAAATTGGCACTGTGAATTATATACCTATATATCTTAATTTGCATTGCGTACTGCATGCATATTTCTCTTTATGAAAAATACAAGTTTAGGTATTTCACATCTGCCAGGCGTACCGTGGCTGCTTATATTCTTTTAAATTAATATCAATGAATATGGGTTCCGCAGTAATCGATTAAAATGCTAACGAAACAGCTTCACAGAACCACATTTCGTCTAACCTAACATAACCTAACTGATAGTGAGTCTTAACTCACAAACTATCAAAATTCCCTTGACTTACCTACGAAGCACTACTTCTATCTAATTCTCATTCAAAAATTTTTGCAGGTCAATCTTAACAATCATCTTTTTGGTATTTACGCTTTCCCTAATACCTAAAATATTTAAGCGTAATGTTAGCACTTTACCCGAATACATAACTTATAATTATTATCATATAAATAATGACGTATATGTAATTGTTTGTAGTACCTAACTGTCAAAGTGAGCGTTGTGAAGAAGAAAAAAACTAGCTTTAAATTAAGTACCTACATTAAATGACAGCACAAAATAGAAACTATTGTAAAATATATATCATGATAATTATTCTATCAAATAAAAATAGTAAATTTATCTATGATGTTTTAAGGTTATAGATACGTCATACACGCTTCTGGTTTTGCAATACCAAAGTCAAGTAATTGCCCGCCTTGCATTCAGTCGGGCATGCTATCTCGCCGCGACTACACTTGGCTACATCGTATAAATACTAATAGGGAAGATGCATATGTAATATTTATGAAAATTTTATGATTAAAATGTTAAAAAAATATAAAAGAAATGCCACTGCAACGTTTTTATTTTACATAATGTAGTTTTTTAACAATTATTACGAATTAAAAATACTTGAAACGGAACGTATTTTAAAACACCAATCAGCGTTTAGTGACGTCACTCCTGTTATGACAAGTTCTTTGAGGTTATGGTTGTTAAAGTAAATATTATTTTATGGGAACATTTATTGCGTTTTTTTACATTTAATAAAAATGGAAGTAGCGTTTATCAAAGCAGACTCCAGGAATTTACCAAGAGTTAGCGTTGACATGGTTTTACCTTTTTTTGTCCAAAGTGCAGAGTTCTTTAAGTGTAGAAATGAAAGGGACTAAATTACTACGGTATGTAAAAATCGTAGTTGTTAAACTTCGTATTTTATTCAGCGGCTTCTACAAATCTTACGGCGATAATGCAATCGGCTATGTCCAAATTAAAAGAGATGGAAAATTATGTACAGTAAAAGGTCGAGTTCTCCGGAGCATAAAGTACGTAAAGAAGGTTATCGTGTTACAGTTATTTTAAATGAAACGCAAAGCTTGGTTCAGTCCTGCCAATGTGAAGATTGTGTCACACATTTTAAACTTTATCTAATTTTCGACGTCATTCTCCAACTGTAAAATTAAAAATATGTTATAGACAGGTTTTGTAAGTATTAGGTAGGTTACTGATGCGTTTTTACGTACAAGCAGATTAATTAAGCATATAACAAGTATATTCGCCGACTTACGTCAAAGTGATCTTCTCAGCATCGAATAATGGTCTTTGGAGAATAATTGTCATTTCTCTTCGTAGCTTGAAACCACTTTTTTTTCAGTTTTGGGTCAAAAGTTCCAGTCAAAAACAATTTATTTGGGAACTTTGTTGAAGTAGATTGGCACAAAACATGAGTCAACACGGCTTTTTTTGGGAATATTAGTGGTATTGTTATGATCACATGATGTTGATGAATAGTCCATTTTAAATTTTTCAAAAAAATATTTCGAAAGTCGAAAAAATATGCAAAAGTATGAAAATTTAAAGCCAGCAACGAACAATTACGACCATTGACAGACAGGAGTGACGTCATCGCAACCATAGGTTCGTTTTCGCGCGAAAATTTAAATTGTCAATTTAAAACCGCAAATTTTCCGATAAATCACAATGTTTTAATTTTTAATATATCTGTGGTTTATTCTACATGGAATTCTTTAAAATGAAAACAAAAATAAAAATATTGCATCTTCCCTATTTGGACATGGCCGATTGCATTATCGCCGTAAGATTTGTAGAAGCCGCTGAATAAAATACGAAGTATAACAACTACGATTTTTACATACCGTTGTAATTTAGTCCCTTTCATTTCTACACTTAAAAACTCTGCACTTTGGACAAAAAAAGTTATAACCATGTCAATGCTAACTCTTGGTAAATTCCTGGAGTCTGCTTTGATAAACGCAACTTCCATTTTTATTAAATGTTAAAAAAACGCAATAAATATTCCCATAAAATAATATTTACTTTAACAACCATAACCTCAAAGAAGTTGTCATAACAGGAGTGACGTCACTAAACTCTGATTGGTGTTTTAAAATACGTTCCGTTTCAAGTATTTTTAATTCGTAATAATTGTTAAAAAACAACATTATGTAAAATAAAAACGTTGCAGTGGCATTTCTTTTGTATTTTTTTAACATTTTAATCATAAAATTTTCATAAATATTATATATGCATCTTCCCTATTCTACGTTTTTCCAGACTAATAGCCCTATGTTTCTTTTAGATAGTACACGAAATACACGGGAACTATTAGAAAAGAAAAACGTGTCATTTCATTCGTAAATACAGTTTTAAAGAAATTAATGTAAAAATATTTAGTGATTACTTATTTTGACAGTTGCTGACACCTGAGTGCCGTCTTTGACCTATTGGAGTCCCTGGACATATTGGGTTAATGAGGCCCCTATGACTTCCCTTTGGTGATTTAACAGGAACTAGGCACTCTGTATGTGATCTGAGGGGGGCCCCTATCGATCGCGGAGCACTTGCCCAAAGTGGCCACTGGGTCTGTTGACAACGTTCACGTGTGAACGTTTAAAGAGCGAGATGTAATTGCTTTATAAATGAGAGTGTAAGAGACTACTTTAGTGTGCTCTATTGGCGGCTGTTGCCAAGGGAAGTCGGGGTGGGGACTACTTATGCCATTCTAAAATGCAATAATTGTGGTGTATGACCTGTCTATATATTATACGTCATTAACATTTATCTATGTTATGGCCATGTCACCATGAGCAAAAAGTATTACAAATAGCAAATCTCTAATATATTTACTAAGTTTGGGTCCCTTGTCAATAGAAAGTAATAGGGATCTTGTTTTATATTAAAAAAATATTATTTTGTTAAAATAAATAAAATAATTATAAATTGTATTATATTTTAATTTAAAAATGCCATTTGAACGTGTTATTTTTTGATCTATATTTACGATATTCTAGCTATTTGTTTCTTGACTTTAGCCACTAAAAACTGAAAAGCATTATATTTTGCTCAATATTTTCTAAATCTGATTTGACCGTGAATTCCTCAGACTTGAGATGTAACCCGTAATCACGCATGAAAGTCAGAGTTAGTAAAAGAGAAACTTTTATAATAATGCCACAATATTTTTCGTTCATCTCTAGCGAGTCGCATTACATTTTTTAATGTTATAAAAAAATCAGAACCTGTCAACAAGCTTCGGTCGCTCAGTGGTAGAAAGCTCGCCGGCATCGCGGAGAG